GGCAGAAAGCCGGACTCTAGACTGCTCGTACTCGTTTTATGCATCATTCGTCCGGTCGATAATTCACCGTTCTCTAATTGGCGGTATCATTACGTTATGCATTAATAGGACACAGGGCACGAGTTATAACATTGTTCTTTGATCTGTTTGATTTCTCCTGCCCCTAAAATTCCAAGCTAGCACTTTGCTTGTGGCATGTTTTCCGTAAAGTGCGACCTACCCACCTACAACTCCTCCCAACTATTCACTTCTTGTCTGCAGCTTGTTTGTTATCTCCCACTGTTGGTCTCTATTTAATGGATCTGGAGTGTCCTGCATAGACACATGTTTATAAGTACCTGTGTAGAGGACAGAACACAGGTGGGGACAATCGAATGCATTTGACAACTAATTACAGAACCTATTAGTAAAATCTAACAACCATATATTAAATGCTCAATTTGCAAATTGTCCATCAATTGTCTTAAATGACTCAGAATTCCTTTGTTCTTGCATTTTCATACAAATTGCATCCTTTGTTGTTCGATCTTCTCGTCTCTCTGCTGCCAGACATTGTGTTCATGACTCACGTCATATACTACTTATGTCTACATAAGTAGCACACACCACACCTGTACCTTCTTGATGATGGCTTTAGTAGTTTTCCCAGATTCAAATCTGTACAATAGAACTGTCTTGACATTTTTATCGAAAATTCTGATCCTGGGCGACAGTTCCAAGGATTCATTAATCGTAGGGATGCCACCCTTGCTTTGCCAGTTCGTGCATTTACATCTACATCAGATAACCCGGTTCATCAATGATGCTGCCTAGTTACGTAAAGTTTTCCACCTATTCCAGAGTTTCTACATCAAATGTTATTTGGATGGGTTTCATTGTGTTGTATTTTAAGATCTTGTTTTTACCGTTGTGTATGTCGAGACTTACTAGTACTACACTGGCTGTCTTCACCCGCATTTGTTGCTGTGTGGAGGTCCCGATTTTGAATTTTCTTACACCTCCGAAACCTGCATATTTGATATTTTTATAGCCTAGGCAATTGAACCTATGAGATGACCCAATTTTCTAGTGGCACGTTTATAAGTACTATGAGAAATATAGGTTATTATTAATTGGATGGATTATAGTACCAGTCAACATTGTCTATACACTAAATAATGTATTTTTCTCCTATCATTACTATTATTATGTCATATTATTCATAACAGTACCATCAAGCTAAAATGTTCACAAACTTTTTATGAAGGTCAGACGTTTTAATAATAATTCCAACTTTCCTAAATATTTGTTTATATTCGTGGAAATTCATGTTTTACAAATAATCTGAATTCACTGATTAGTGGATGTCAAGTGCACAATATTTATCATAGAAGATCGACAGTTTTTGAAAACAATTCATGCACCCAAATATCATCATTTTACAATCCCACTAAATTATTATTAATGTCATTATCCGTAAAAAAAATGAAAGGTTGAGTTACTGCTTTTACTGACCAGTCATCATAACAGTCTCAATATTTGCAACACCATGTCAAAGTGAGATTTCTTCGCCATGCATATTACAAACGTAGTTACCAGATCAAAGTCATTTAGTAACTTATAGTACTTAGAGTGATTTCACACGAACTTTTAGTAAAAGTGCACTATACGAATGACCCTAAGGGAGCCAATAAGGATTGAGACAGCGTCTCGTGGATTTTGCGCGAAACAGGAAGTGCAGTGAGAGATAACTTGTTATTATGATTTAGGTAAAAATTGGCAATGTCTGGTTTTCGAAAGTAATAAAACTATCTATTAAGCAACCAAACAGTGAATAAAGGAAGGTGCTTAGATTAAATACAAGAAATATCTGCTCCTGATACAGATTGTATGTTAGAGTATTCAATCTATAGTTAAGGGTGTTTAGTGTAGCTAGACAGTATTCTCCCACTCTAACTCTCAATCTCAACACATAATTCCTTAGGTCTATAAACAAAATTTCTATTTATTTAACACATATTGGTACAAGGAGGCACCAAATACATATGCGCCACACAGATCTCATTTGATATGTGTGAGGGAGGTGATACTGCCCGGGTGCCCAAACCGAAGCAAGTGGTTTTCTTAGGGGGCCACACCCGGCGCCTTTGACCTAAAGGTCTGACCCACAAGGCAGTGGAGCATCGCAAGGAGATAAAGTCCCATGGTAGCCGGTGACCAACGATTGGTTCATACGCTATTTGTTCCTTCAGGATACTGGAGTCCATGTGCACCATTGGTTTGGGATCCGGTTAAAGTGCCAGACATTCGCTTTTCGTCCTCTCACTTTCGTAGACAACACTCCCGCCACGAGAAGGCAGTGAGTAGAACAAAATGGTAGTAAGGAATCACTCCATGACAGCTGATACCTGTTCGTGATAAAAACCCTAACTATAATTTGTAAATCGATTTCAACTGTAGCTGATCTAATACCTATCGCCATAAAGCTGGTGTCAGTTAGTGATGAGTTAGATAAACATTTTCATAAAATGTCAACCTAACGTTGCCTTTAGATTAGTTATTCATTTGAGTGGTTAATTTGGATTTATAACCGTAGGAATTGATGATAATTACATTAGTGGTGATAACAAAATTCTGTTAGACATGGTAACAGTGAGGCAGAACAAACAAAGGAATTAAAGCATTTTTTATCAGGGAAACTAATAATATTTTTATTGTTAAGGGTTTGAATAGTCATCACAATTATAATTTCCCTGATAAGAAAATAATGTTTTAATACCCTTATTTATTCTGCCTGACTGTTACCATGTTTAACAGAATTTTATTATCACTTATTGTAATCATAATCATCCTGAAAAATACTTACGCCTGTTACCCCCAATGGAGCATAGGCCGCCGACCAGCATTCTCCAACCCACTCTGTCCTGAACCTTCTTTTCTAGTTCCATCCAATTCTTGTTCATTTTTCTCATATCTATCTCCATTTCTCGGCGTAATGTATTCTTTGGTCTTCCTCTCCTCCTTCGGCCTTGAGGATTCCATGTGAGGGCTTGTCTTGTGACGCAGTTCGGTGCTTTCCTCAATGTGTGTCCTATCCACTTCCAGCGCTTCTTCCTGATTTCTTCCTCCACTGGGATCTGATTTGTTCTCTCCCACAGTAGGTTGTTGCTAATAGTGTCCGGCCAGCGGATCTGAAGTATTTTGCGTAGACAACTGTTAATAAACACCTGTATCTTCTGGATTTCGTAGTTTTCCAGGTTTCCGCCCCATACAGTAGAACTGTCTTAACATTTGTATTGAAAATTCTGACTTTGGCGTTGGTTGCCAATTGTTTTGAGTTCCAGATATTCTTCAGTTGTAAATATGCTGCTCTTGCTTTGACAATCCGTGCCTTCACATCTGCATCGGATCCACCGTGTTCATCGATGATACTGCCTAAATATGTAAAGGTTTTTACATCTTCCAGAGCTTCTCCGGCAATTGTGATTGGATTGTTACATGCTGTGTTGTATCGAAGAATCTTGCTTTTCCCTTTGTGTATATTGAGACCTATTGCTGCTGAGGCTGTAGCTATACTGGTTGTCTTCTCCTGCATTTGTTGTTGCGTATGCGATAGAAGAGCCAGATCATCTGCGAAGTCTAGATCATCCAATTGCATCCTAGATGTCCACTGTATCCCGTGCTTCCCTTCAGATGTTGACGTCTTCATGATCCAGTTGATCACCAGGAGAAAAAGAAAAGGTGAGAGTAAGCAACCCTACCTGACACCGGTCTTTACTTCGAACGACTTTGTCAACTGTCCTCTATGAACGATTTTGCAGTTTAATCCACCATAGGAATTCCGTATGATATTGACTATCTTCTCAGGCTCGCCGTAGTGTCGAAGAAGCTTCAGTGGGGCTGGTCGATTCAAGAGTTCTTTGAAGTGTTCTACCCACCTGTTTCGTTGTTCTTCAATGTTGGTGATTATCTTGCCTTCCTTGTTTTTCACTGGTCGTTCTGGTTTACGGTGATTTCCAGAGAGTTTCTTATTTCTGCAGCAATTTGGAAAACTCTCCCAGTCTCCCACATTGTGCGAGCATTCCATGTACCTAAATAAATGGTTGCTCTGGTTGTCAGAAGGGGCATCGGCCTCGTGACTTCCGAGGAAACTCGGCTTTCATCATGAGGCGTCATAATTCTTCTAAACAAAGACCTCCTGACTCCTAGGGCAAAGTTTAAATGGTTTGAATAATTTTTTCTGGTTAGCGTTTTTTTTAGCGAGTTAGTTTTCTACGGGATGGGGTCGCTAACCCCATGCCCAACCCTCCTCCTTTATCCGGGATTGGGACCGGCAGTAGCCCCCGAAAGGGACTCCAGGCGTACATATATTCGCAATTGTACAGATTTAAAGAATATTCTCGCTTTACAAATCTGTGATAAAATATATACTTAACGGTTAATTTGGGTTAACATCCGAGTATTGTCCTCACTAAATTTAAAGCACTCAGGAATTTGTTTCAGAAGCATTTAAGTGTAGCGTCATAATGTTGTTACTATCATAATTTCTTTTGAGTCGTCTTCGTTCAGCTACATATCATTCCGTCTACGTTAAATTTATGTCTATCAATCTATAATTCCTACTAACTGCTTAAATATAAAATAACTATTACACAACCTATGAAAGTTGTGATCGATAAACGAACTCACTAATGACAACATTAAACGCCCACCACCACATTAACTCTCTTTGACCTTGCATGACTGTCTTGTTCATTTACCAATCATAATTTTTATGTTTGTCATAAACGATATTACGTTTTTGATTGAGATCATGAACCGATTGGTGTTAGACCACCATTGAAAACCTGGAAGCACTGGACGGACATTTCATCCTATTGTGAGACTCTTCAGCAGTGCGCATAAAAAACATCCGAACTTGTTCTTTTTTCAACAGCTTGATGTATTATGTACCCATTTATATTATTCGTATGCAAGGCTCTCATCTGTGATGGAACAGTTTCTAGATATTTAATTCAAATAAAATCCAATAAACGTTTGCTTTAATAGTACAACAGAGAAATATATTTACAAGACCACTGGTCAATTTTTACATATGAAATTACAGTGATTCAGGATCGACGTAACAAATACTGGTTAATAAAAATAGATTATTTGGAGGAGGATGTGGACTTGGGCTGAGTATGGTGAATGTGGACTTGTCTTCGGAAACATTAACAACTACGATAAATCCATAAACAGGAGCTTCTGGAACTTGATAAGGTTCTGAAGCTTGAGAAACTGCCAACAGACGATTTTTCAAATCTCGACTAACTGAAACCTGGATGGGATTACGCCATGTCTCCTCTTCTTGTGCTCCATGTGGGAGAAGTGCATCGGGAATAGCCTCACTTCCAACTTTGTAAATTGAATACTGGAAATGAAAATAGAAAAATATTCAAAGATAGGTGGTGATGGTGATTCAAATTACTAGTTGCAAAAGGTGTAATTAGATGGTGAAAATCTCTAAATAAATCATAGCAAGCAAGAGTAACCAGACATATTTGAGAGCACTCATGGGGTGAAGTGAACTGAATTTAGAAAATGAATGACGTTTATTTAATTATATTTAATCAAGGAGTCGAATAGCGACATTTCCCTTGTAAATATTTGTAAGATTCGACTCCATAACCCTATCTAGATGACTCCATCTGGGACTCTTGTAATGAATGAAAACACAAGTTAGGACAATCCAATGTATTTGAACTCAAAATTACAGAATATCTCAGTAAAATCTCAGAACCATACAGTAAATACTTAATTTGCAAAATGTCAATCGATTGTCCCAAGCTTGACTGTTCCTTTTGCAAATATCAGTCAATCTTCTCAGATATGATTTTCTTTCGTTTCCACACCAATCATTCTTTGTTCTCCTTCTCTTTCCTTTGATCTTCTTAACCTTCTGTCTCTAGGCATTTCACTCTCGACTAATGATAGATAATACTAATATCTGTCGACATCAGTAGCGCACACCACACTCTTTAGAGTTGTTGCCGGTCCCAAGCCCAAGTAAAAGAGTAAATTAAACAACTCCCATTCGCAGTAGAGACCTCGTTACAAAAATGCTAACCACAAAAATTCACTAACACCATTTAAACTCTGCCCGGGGAGTTAAGGGTTCTCATATAGATGAGCCACGAGGCCTCGTGATGAAAGCCGAGATTCTTCAAAAGTTAAGAGCAACAATATAGGTGTATGGAATGCCCGGACAATGTGGAAGACTGGGAGGACCAGCCAAATATTTAAGGAAATGAGAAGACACAACCTGGCTCTGTCTGAAATAATTAGAACCTACTGGATAAAAAAGGCTTACTTCAGGAGGGTTGTTATTGTATGCTGGTCATGAGAAAGAAAGACCAATAGACAAAAGTGGTTGGACCAATTCTGTTCAGATAAACACGAAAAGCGCCTATAGGATGGAAAACTCATGGGTTTGCAATCATTAAAACACCCTTCAAAATAAAGAAAGGGATTATAATGAATGTCATTCAGTGATATGTGCCTACTAATCACCGTAACGAAGACAATAAAGATCAGTTCCATAAAAGGCTTCAGTTGATGGTAGAAAAGTGCCCAGGAGAATACCTGACCAGTCTGATGGAGGACCTAAACGCCAACGTTGGGATGGCCAACACTGAGTATGAATGCACTATGGGGAGATATCGACTGAGAGGAAAGAACGGAAATGGTGAGAGACAGCTAAATCTGTCCTTTCAACAACATGGTCATAGGTGGAGCGTTTCCCGCACAAACGCACACAAAGCTACATAGGTTCCACTGGACAACGCTACGTAAAATTAGATTGATCACATCTGCATAAATAATAACTGTAAAAGGTCCATGGAAAGACGTAAGAACAAAAAGAGGAGCTGATATACCTTCAGATCATCACATAGTGGTGATTAAGTTAGAACGAAAATAAAAAGGATTGAACAATCGAAGAAGCAGGATTACAAAAGCTTGGCATAGCATTTCTTCAAGATGCTAACAGGCTTAGTGAATTCAACATAGCTCTTAATGACAAGTTCGAAGCCTTAAAAGATCTACTGAAAGAAGGGGAAATCACATAGAATGCAGCTGGTAAGAGATTAAGGAAGCAATGACTCCAATATTATAGGAAGTGCTAAGTCCAAAAAACAGCATTATTAAGGATGGATCTCTGTAGACAATCTAGGTGAGACTCAAGAAAGGAAAAACAAGAAGACAAGATCCAACAACAGCAAAAAATGTGAAGGCACAGGTCGAATACACAGAAGCAAATGAGAGAATGGAGAAGAGCATGAAAGCTGATGAGCAGAAATATGTGGAAGACCTACCAACGATAGAGGAAAAGTCTGCAAGAGAAGAAAGTACGAGGAAACCATATGATACAACAAAGAAGCTTGCAGGGAAATATGATGAGCTAGAGAGACCAGTCTAGAACAAAGAATGAAAACCAATCACTGAAATTCAAGAACAGAGAAACAGGTGAGTTGACACTTTGAAAAGCTCTTGAATAGACCAACTTGGTTTTTGTAAGGATCGATCAAGTACCAACCAAATAGCGACTGAGTTGCAAGGTCGTACATGAAGAGTAGCTTAGAGATGCATTCTAAGTGAAGGCCAGTGCTAAACAAGGTTCGCTACTCCCGTTGTTTTTCTTTCACCAGATACTTTGATATAAACCACACTCTAATTGTGAGGGCTAGTGATACTACTTGACTGCTCGAACTGAAGTCGGTGGAGCAGGATTTGAACCTGGTATTTAATGCCTGAATGTAAAACGTTTTAACCACTGAACCATCATTGCCCTTTCTCTTTCTGCTAGTTGTTGACTGCATTATCACGACCTTCATACCTCAGTGGATACCTTGGATGCAGCTGGACGATTTGGACTTCGCAGATGACTTAGTTCTTCTATCTCACACAACAACAAATTTAGATGAATACGATGAAGCAGGCTTCTTGAGAAATAAGTCTCAACATTTACAAAGTAGGTCAAGTAACATATGGAGATAATCGGTCAGCAGCCTATGTCCGGACAGAGGTAACAGGATTAAGGTTAAGGCAGAACTCGACGAAAAAACCTGAATATGTAAACCGAAACTTTGCAACAAGATTTATTGTAGAACCCATCAAATGAGAGGGCAACTGCTTTATAGGTCAAAACCACGCACTTAACTTACTGTAAGTTTGAGCAGACAATGTCGTTAGCCCTTATAATCAAAGTGGTTCAGAGATGGCTATACAAACTTGTGTTTGGTAGGCGACTAAAACATACAACTACACTCATATTTCTTATACCCGACTGACTGCGATCTTATTTTAACGAAAAATCAATAGAAAGAAACTAACCTCAGAAGATTTAAGCGTTATTTGATGTGGATGCAGACGTCTCAAGGGGTTTTCGCCATGTAAATAGGAACAGACTCGAGCATCTCGCTGACGTGTCCACTGATCTGGACTTCTAGTTATAGCACCTGAAGATTTGGGTAATCTTACTATAGTCACCTCGGGAGGAAGATCTTCACGCAGGAACGAAGCCAGAAATCCATCTTCTATGACCAATAATGTGTCAACCTAAAGAACAAAGTGCTTTTAATTTCATGAATATATATATATATCGCTATCAAGGTTTAACTTGATAATTCCAAAAAATATAGCATTTGGTGGATTTTTTAAAAACGTAAAATAACAAAATAATCTAATAAATATCTTATGATTTAATAATTTTCCCAAGAATACTATTAAAACTGTACTAACACTAAACAATTTGTTGTTGAATAATAGATTAAATGAAATACTATAGACCGTAGTTTTATCATTAACCATCTTATCAAAAACCATATTCGATGTCTTCAAGTTCGATAGCATAAACACATGAATTATCCTTACACCTTCATATTTTTGACGTCCACTTCGATATACAGGAATGTACATATGACTCGTCTTAGACCTAAATGATGGCATTGGTGTGATCAGAATTTTTTCGATTGTGTTAAATACTTTGATTTGCCCCTCTGTAATATACAGAACTAAGCTAATTTGCTTTGATTGTTTATTCATTCTCTGTAGAAGTAACTAAAAGTAAAAAGGTTATAATATTAGATTACGTAATACGAATAATAACAATAGATTTAGTGAATATAATAAGATGATTAAAATGTTTTTATAATAATTAAAGGTCATAGAGGTGTGAAAATAAATAAGGTAATATGATGAGTATTTACGAATAAAACAATGAGAATGTAAGACATAAGTAAAGGGGGGAATGTAGTAATAATAATAATAATAATAATAATAATAATAATAATAATAACTTCAATTGACTCATGAAATCAACTATTAAATTACTACAATCTCTACAAAACCACTCTCTGATTATAATAAAATAAAATGAATTCATTTTACTTCATAGCTTTTTCTTATCATCTGTTTATAACTTAAACATAATAGTAATGGATAGAGACTAAATTTATTTACTAAAAATTAACTGGTAATAACATAAAACTACACAAGTATGTACCCGTTATTTTTAACATTGTGAACTTTGTGCATCATTCATATGCTTCATATCATACCGACTCATATAATCCAACTGAAAAAAATCAATATCTTGTTAAATAATCACTGATAAGTAATTTGACCTTATTTATATATGTACTCTGGTCTATATCATATGCAATCATTTTTCCGACAAAAAAAATTAATTTGGATATTTTAACAGTACAATGATTTGCATTTTATATATAATTCATGTTTTAAAAATGTTTTCCAATTTGTACTTTTATTTTTTTTTAAATTTCGAATAAACAAATGATTCATATTCATTCATTCAATATCAACACAAACCACATACATATTCACATTGTGTATTTTACACATTATTCACATATACTACATACTAAAGTTAACATCTGAATATGATTAGATAAGTTATTAGTGTAGATATGCTTGTTAAACGTTAGAAATTCTTTGGTAATATTGATTTTGATTATTATTCCTGAAGACATTCACATTAGTTTTGTAGACAAAATATTGGAATCATTTAAATTTCCAACATCCAAAAATAATGTCTTTTGTTTACTCGGAGACCAATTTTTGTCAAACTATTCATTTAAAATATTGACAAATATACGTATAAATTTTGTTTTGTTAGTATTTTGTAGCATTTAAGATTTTATTAACGTGAAATTTTGGGGTAAATCAATGTGTCTATCAGTTTACTTGCTCGTGTGGAACAGGTTATATTGGCCGCACAAAGAGAGCTCTTTAGAAACGTATCTCTGAACATTACCCTGCCTGGCTCTCCAAAGGATTACAGAAGTCGGTCAAAAACTTAATCTTGGAGAATCTATTCGATTCCAATCACTTCGCTTTACCAAAAGCCTCCTTTAAAGTTATACATGCAGTCAGAGGGGTTGGTTCAATAGAAATGCAAATGAAAAACGTATGTACAGCAGAGGCTATTGTAATCCCTCAGTTTAAGCCTAACCTTTGCACACAAGAACAGTATGTTCAGTCCCTCGTTCTTCGATGGTCTTAACCGTCCTTTCTATTTTACATAATTTATTTTATTATTTTAACTCCTTTCCAATTATTTTTACAACCACTAATCAGCAATGATTATTCTCTTCTTAACAGTTATCAAATGGACATTTATTTTCACCTTAACACTTTTTAACCAGCCGATTATCACATAACTTCCTTTCAATATCTGATTCTCAAGTCTTGGCAACATACCATTTAAATATTTAACACCATTCTGTCTTACTACAGAATACTATTTTAGCAAATAAAATTAACTATAAATATGATTGTACAGCTTAAGTGAAATAGTCGAAACGAGAATTTTCTTTGCTGAGTAGCATTCTTTCGTCGTCAATGGCATAATGGGTCTCTTTCACTATCTACCATTTTCATTTAATGCAATGGACTTAGTTAAAATACCTTGTCCATTGTAACATAATTTTGGACTTGTGACTTTGGAGCTTAATGAAGTTATTGAGTAAAATAGTTCGCTCTAATATTCTTTGTTCTCCGGTTTAAAATAATTTGGAATTATTAATAAGCAAACAACATTGAACTTGTTGCGTTTTGTCGAAGCCATAGCTATTAAAAGGTTTAAACCAGATTTTTGTATTCAATAAGATAATGTTTTCACTCTTGCTTTGCCCTGGTGACTTAATCTTTTAACGTGTAGTTCCGTAACAAAACTTTGTTTATATTTTGTAACTAAATTTTTACATACTTCGTTGAGTTTTATCTGCACTCTACTTACTTCTACTGATCTGTTTTCTTGTTATTATTGTGCAAAGTTGAATTATTAATTAACATTTTCATTAATTTGTCTCCATGTGTTTTTTTAATAAAAAAAAAACTTTCCCCTATAACTTTTATATCAGTTAACAGAAAATTATTCAACGATTTAGACGGTTTTTAGGATGATTGTTAAATAAAATAAGATTGTTAGTGTTGAGATGACTCGCATGCAATGTTAATATGAATCAGCTTATACCTTAAGTGAAATTAAAAGATTTATGATCAGAATAAACATGGATATGATAGAATAAAAGGAATAGTAGTGCAATTACGAATTCAATCAAATGTTTATAATCGCTTTAAAAGAAACTGTATCGACGAAAACTTTTCTAATATATTGATATAAATTGTGTATACCAATTTTTAGTGATTATTACTATTATGTTCGGGATGTAAGTAGCTGATAAGCAATCACTAAGTAAACTGAATTCATATTATTCTTCTACGTTGATTCTTCGTGCTTTATTTAAATTTATCAATGGGAAAAATCGCATCAAATATTTGAATTTTGATTATAAAAAAATCATCCATGTGTTGAAAAAAGTAAATTAGTCTTTGAGGTAGTAAAATACGTTGTTAACTTACTTCGAAAGCTGCAGCAGTCGTTCGTATGGCTTGTATACCCTTTTCTTTACTTGACCCACCATCTGAATCATCTTTACGAAATCCACTCATATTGATTATACAACCACTAGTGAATATACTCATATCATTTTCAGAACGAATATTGATAAGTTCGGCTAATCGATTCACCTAAAAGACAGTGCCAACAAGGAAGCGACCTGAATTATAGTCCCAAAATTAATTAGTAAATAATCACAAGTGTAGGAATGGTCCCCAAAAATCCCTTACCAAAGTCCCTAGAAGCCCAGAAACGCCTGGAAACATGTTATTTAATCAGCGTTAAATAAAATCTCTGCCACCATATTCAGCATGATACCAGAAACTTTCGGAACCCCAAGGTTGTGTGTATCTCAATAAATACCCTCTTTTTTGTTTATAAAATAACCTTGGAGTAAGGCTTCTACCCGCGATTCGGGCCCTGTCTCTACCGTTCCAGTTGATGTGTAGAATTAGTTGGGTTTATCAAAACCATCTGAGAAGACAGTTTAGGGGTAGTGGTAGCAAGATTTATCAATAACTTAAACCACAAAATCTATTCCTGTAGTCCAGGAATCATTATATATATATATATATATATATATATATATATATATATATATATATATATATATATATATATAATACATTACAAAAATTAACCTCCCAATTACGTGTTCATGTACTTGACTGATGCATATTTATTGCAAAAGCTAGTTAAGTCATTTAATTTCCCGAAGCTACGTAGAACCAACAAATAATAGGACAAAACTCGTGTCTTGGATTCCAGTGATGGGCAAAAATTCATCTATTCCATGAAAGGATTTAACTAGGTTTGATTTGACGTTCCGGTTCCAAATAAAAATCCAACAGCATTTGAGAACAACTACTTAAAACAAATTCTTACAATGAATTGAATATATAAAAGGCAAAGTCGACAAAAGCATGTTCAGTGAACTGGATACAAATCTTGAATTACTAGAAATGTGACATCGTTTTAAATGAAGCAAATGAGAATGGAGGTAATAAAAACTTTGCGAAACTTCGAGTTTACTGATCTTATTTTTTCTCAAAAATTTGTCCTATCTGTATTGAAAATGCTTCTAAAAAATATGACAAATTAGACTCTTTAGGTGTTATGCTAGAATTACTTAGGTAGATTTTCGAAAACTCGCCTTACTTGCAATCATCTATACAGCGAATCAGTAACCGGAAAGCATAAAAGGTCTCGTATATTCTGCATTTTCATCTACATAAAAGACTGACAGCCGTTCTGACCTGACAACTTTCTTCGTAGTATTTACAGTTCATATTGAACCGCTTGAAAAACGTTGTTTTCTTCAAATGTTTATTGGCTTAAACAGCTCCAAAAATGTAATGAACTTCCTGAGGTTTACTCAAGGTTTCTGAAAAAACTTAAGTAGTTTAGTTTGCATGTCTACTGGGTAGACCATGTACATGGCTGAGTGAAAACAATTCGAACTAAGTTATTTGGTGAAACAAACCATTGGGATATTCAGAAAAATATCCCAAAATTATCCTGTTAAGTCTAATGCTATCCTAGGACTTGAAATGGTATCATTTTCCTATTGGTCAATATTTATTTCACGTGTCGTTTCCCTACTGGTCAATATTTATTTCACGTGTCATTTTCCTGTTGGTCGAATTCTGTACAAATGTTATTTTCTATTTTATGGTACGATGTGGTCTGTTTGATTGGTATATAAACGGAGTATGTTTCAAATATAATGATTCATATCGCAGAGGCTGAGACTCGTGATCTGGACTCAACTGGATGGGCTAGACAGGGAACCAGGACCAATCAGAACTCTAGGCTGTCCTTACGTGTTTTACGCGTCTTTAGTCCGATCTATAATTCGCTGCCCTCTAATCCGCGGTCAACATATAACACAAACATCTTTAGCACCTAGTGGACCTAAATCCACATGTAACAGACCTATTTTACAAGATATAAATAATAAGTTATGATGTTTACTTATTGATTCAACTCTTTAAATAATACACTATGTAGCCTATTCTCAAATACATAAATTTAAAGGCAAATGCTACACTAGACAAATAGTAATTAAACATACTTGTTCTCGAAAAAGATTTAAGTTACTCGCAGGATCAGTGTGACCGAAACAAAATACTAATGGATCTTCCTCTAGACTCCACCCTTCCATCAAATCATATGGTTTGGTAACACTTATTGCGGCAATAGTTGTTGGTATACACACCTGTTACGTATATAACAAAAAATATGTAAAAATCAAAGTTGTTAATGAAGGAGGAATGCGACAACATTGAAAACAGTAAGATATAGTTTTGAAAACGAGTCACAAGAATTGAAAATGTCGGGAAAGAAATACAATAGAACCACACTATTCGAAAATGCGATTGCGAACCAAGCGCTCAGGAATAAGGTCACAAAGATTGTAAATTATTCCAGTGCGGATAAATAAAGTTATTTGGAAGTTTTACTGTAAAATTCTTCTTTAATATAAAGAATACGATGATCGCCAATGTAAGGATGATGCAAATATTTAAGTTGAGTTATCTTAATGTGTCAGACATACTCAAATGAAGAGCAGATCCAACCGACTAGTCGCAAATAAGACGAAATGTGTGCACTGGATACCACTATTAGCCACATCCCATCTATTCCCTATAAATTGAAAAGTGTTGTAACTTATGGTGTCTGTGAACTGATAATGATACGTGATCTTCCCAAATACAAGCTCAATTAGCTACTCAAATGAAAAGGCTGAGAGTGACCAGCAGAATCGATACATATGTGTGCTCATTTATTTGCAGATATGCGTCCCTTAGGAAATTAGGCCACATCAACCAAAATCCCAAACCACTGATTACAGTTATCGCGTGGAACCCAACCAGGTAGCCCGTATCTACCTAAATGGCTCAGATCAACTAATACATGAACGGATTTGACACCCGTCACCAAATTTTCTGCCAAACTCTTCCTACGCCAATCAATATAGCCCGTCCAGTTAGGTATTGATTAGCCATTCATTGTATATATATTAACCACTTCAATAGGCGAGGATTTATAGTTTTAACTGTTGCCACTGTTGCAATGTATCTTATGCTTAACCTCAATACTGTTTACTTGGTAGTACCATCAAACGAAAGCAATGTGTTGAAGACATAAACGATCAATAACTTGCAGCCTAGATACGTTTCTACTTTCATATACCATATATTACAGCGACAGAATAACAGCCGACTGCTGCATAGTATACTCCCCCTCTGATTGGTAGACGGATATTTCGCCTACTCAATAAGTGATGCAAATTGAAAAAGGCCAGACACCAACCTATCAGTGCTGATGAGACTTACAATATGAGCGAAGTGGTGTTAGAGTACTTAAATGTACTACTTGATGAAAAGCAGTCACTTATTTCGATAAAATTAGCAGTCAAACATATGGTGGACAAAATCAAGAAAAACTATGCATTAGTTTACAGTAAGAATGATTAATATTCACAAATTTGATTGTTAACACCCATTTTTTAATAACTATAGATTATTACTAGTTCACTGAACAATTATTTTAGACGTGACACTTCAGTACATGTTTTCTAAGTACTTTAAATTCGGAGCCGATAATGGATTTTTTAATCATCAGCTCAGTTTGCCTATGTAATAAAACTAATTTTAACAGCCATTTAAATACCCTGTAAAGCATTTTAAACTTCAAATGCAGAGTTTGTAAAATGATAGTGTTTTAATAGCAAAATCTGACCGGACATTTTGTAGCCACCCACTAAGTTAGATCCAAACCATAGTAAGTTTTTTGTCATAGATTATCATTAACCATGATCTCAGGAGTCGACTAAGCAGTCGCTAACAAAGGAGACTATTCACATTTACAAAAATCAAAATCTTGTTGTTATCCACCAGAGCTAAATTACACACGAGTAAGGATAGCCACATATACCAATTATAGTTGAATAAACATTTAATATTTCATTAAAAGTAAACGAAATCTACATACTAAATAAAGAAGTAAGGTTCACAATTGACAGGTGTTTAATGGATAGACTCTAATTAACTACTTAATTTTTTGGAGATATTTGAAAAACTGAACATACAGTTGCAGAAAGAGTAACTAGAAAAAAAGCACTTGCACAATTAGGAAGGAGACGGATTTAATTTCGTATGAAGCCATAGGTGAGTCAAACCAGAATGCAAGAAATCACTTAATGAGAACTGGTTTGTAGGCTTTTAGGAGTTTCATATCGGTTATTGTAATATTGAAATAAAGTGAAGCCTTGACATTGGAGGGTCAATGATTTCAAAGATACCCTGATACACGTTGATTAGATATTTTACAAAGACTAAAGCGAATTTATGACAAAACTGAATTACATGAAAAAAGTTTTACGTAACAAGTGCGGTACCTGGTTGAGTCCGACGTTAACATCTACAAGTATTGGTTTGTGTTTTCTACGAGCCGCATAACTTGCCAAAGTGCGACAAAGTGTAGACTTCCCAACACTTTCTTGACCACATACTAATACGCGTGGCCCTCTACTTTGCTCCTTTACAGCTTTTTGTCGTGAAACTTCTAGGTTTGCATGAATATTCATATATACATGCACAATTTCTTGATCTTCCGATGAGGCGATTATATAGGCAGCAACCCCCTGGTCTTGAACAATCAGTTTGCAACCATGGAACGTAACGACTGTTCCTCGTTGACCTGGATACAACTGTAACTCCCAACCACAAACGAGTTCAGTACCAAAAACTTCAGCAGCACCAGAAACTAAAGTTAAACCAGATGGTGAAGTGACTTCAAAACGAAGCATCTGATATTTCTCTAGAGTGTATGATCGAATAGATGGGCTTGGTCGTGGAAAATCCTTCACACCATTCATTTCTACCAAATGTGGATTCACAGGTATTATGGTTTGCCCTTCAACGGAATGATGGCAGATTATGTAAAATCAGTTGGAAAACCAAACTGCATCAAATAAGAGACCTAGGAAAATATGGAGAATTGTTTGATGAGGTAGTGGGGTAGTTTGGACATTTATTACGCATGCCTAATCACTACATAATTCAAAGAGCAATTGGTGTAAAAGTGATTTGCAGGAAGGCTAAGAGCCGCCAGATAAAAACCTGAGATTAGTTAATCAAATCACTGACAAATGTACTGAGATAAGAGATGTAAGACCTCGCTTGATTTTGACCACTTTACGTCACCTGCAAGACAGGAAAGATCTATCCATTTATGAAAAGGTGAATATATATTCCACGAGTTTGTTTGTTTATGGTGAAACAACCTTTTAAGATAACAGCATGAGTAGGTCCCTTAGTATCAGACCACAGATATTTTTAGAACTGTTTGTGTATGATGGAATCATTGAATGAGTAGTGATGAGGTTAAACATTCGGTTTTAGAAGTTACAAGCCTACTGACGAAGTAATAACCCTCTAATGCATGATGTGGTGTGAAAACGTGTTACACACGTCCATTCTGATGCTTTGTCGGCCAGTCAGCCACAACGTAGGACCAGGCACATATATGCATCGGTCCAAGTTGCCATACCGCATTAGCACAGTAAGATAAACACCGGATTCATAAGAGTGGTTAAGTTAATGGTTGTAATATATAAAAGAAAGATTGCATATAAGGATGTAGTACAGGAAGAAAGAATTAGTTCGTAGAAAGATATGAAGCGATCTTAATCTCATAGTTTAAGGGAAGACAGAGAGTGTATACACCTACATCATTGTGATCGATTCTGAGCCGTCACCAAGAGTCTTTAACCAATGGTAACGATAATCACGCGGACCCCAACCGAGTAGTCTGCATCTACCAACATGGCTCAGACTAGAAGTTAGTGTCTTCAAGCACTGATGCCACGTTTTGGTTTGGCCGACCCCATCTTTCTTCCAACCATCCCCAACACCCGTTAGCATTGTACGTCGTGGTAATCGCTGTTCAGGCATACGTAGCACGTGGCCCAACCATCTCAGTCGATGAAGATTCACAACCCCATCAACTGATTTACCATCATTCCCTAATATCCTGCGTTTAGCCTCACTATTACTTACCCGGTGATCCTAGCAGATGCCAGCAATGTTTCTAAGGCATCTGTGGTCAAATACCAGTAACTTACGAGCTCCCAAGTTTGGGGAATCTGGGGAAAATTTTTGGGTATTTTGAGATGACTCTCGAAGTCGAATGGACTTAACCAAGGTTAAAGGGGTGTTTTTTGAGAAATACTGGGGAATCTTCTCAGGTCTGGGGAGATCTTGGGGTTTTTGTGCCATTTCACCAAAGTTTACTATAGCGGTTTCCACAAAATGGGTCAAATTTTCCACAAAATTGGGAGCTCGGGATTCGTCAAATAGTTTGCTATTCCGGCGAATTCGCTACGCTTTGTTGTGCTTATTTTTTACGTGCATCTCCAAAGGTGCATATTTTTTGCTAGATTCACTTTCATTTGGTCGAAGGAATCCACTTCCCGAGAAGGCACTGAGAGGACTTACATTATGCGTAAAGGCCAATTGGACAACGCTTTAGGGGTATCGTCCACTGTTGGAGGTTGCGAGCACTTGAAGGTCAAACTGTCTCAAGATGATTGGTGCGTAACATCGACAATTTTTCAGAGGCAGTCAAATCAAGACTTAGATTTGAATTGAGTTCAGGCGCACCATGTCTAATAACGTCCATCCATCAAGTAACGAAGATGATGCCATCGTGATAATGCATGATATAGGACGGATCTTCAATGATATTATATTAGCAGTTTAAAAATCCCCATAGAATATTCAAAAATTAAGAATATTTGAGCGAACAATTGTTTTCAATAACTTCATCATCAGGCTCTACAGTTATAAGTCCATAATTATTGTGATATTTTACAAAGGCCAAAAATAAGGCATGTATTAATGAAATTTGACAATGTTATGTGTTAAAAAATTGGTGCACTTTTGCATCTGTTACGATATGCAAAAGTGCACCAATTTTTTAACACATAACATTGTCAAATTTCATTAATACATGCCTTATTTTTGGCCTTTGTAAAATATCACAATAATTATGGACTTATAACTGTAGAGCCTGATGATGAAGTTATTGAAAACAATTGTTCGCTCAAATATTCTTAATTTTTGGATATTATATTATCTCAGGGATTTACAAGTTGGGACAATTTTGAGACCTGTTTGAAAGTACATAAGGTAATATGACTTTTGTGGTTAATAATGATTTTTGTAGTATACGCATACTAAGTATGTTATGATTTGTCTGCTCTCAGTGTATAGCTAAGTAGAAATAAATACCAGCCTGCGATGCAAATACGAAAAAACTATTATAGCAGCACCTGATTAATGAATTTTCAAGGATTTCGCGATACCATGTACCGCAAACTGAAAAAACCTTTTTTCACTTAATTATGAAGACGGAAAATGAACTTTCAAATTTATTTATGAATAATTTCAAATTTTGACTATGCACAAAGCAGGAATGAAAAGGTAGCGCAAAAAGTGTCGCGATAACCCTGGAGCGCTGCCGGCCAAATGTAACGCGCAAGTTCAGACTTGTTTATTGCGGAAAACCTTTTCCAGTAACCTTCTGTTAGTGTTGGTCCTTCTCTTGAATGAGTCGAATTGAAGTGGATACCACTTCTTCCAGTAACGGGTTCAAAGAATCGATAACTCGGTTTGAAAGCCTGTATGCCACGGACTGAACTAACGTAGCTGAAAGCGCTCAGTCACGCAACCACACCAGTTCACGAGGGGGTATGCTACGTATTTCCTACTACCGTTAGCCAGCCTAGACCTGTTTCTTGTTGGAGCATCATTTTCCAACCTTAATGTTTGCATATTATGATATTGTTTCTAAGTTTTCGAATACAATATCTAGTTCATTGGTATACCTTATATTCATCATGGCGGACAGTATCCTAAGGTATTTAGGATTGAAACTCCTTCATTTCAGCTAATGTCATTCTGGATCGATAATACTGAAGTCTGATTCTGATGCACAGAAGCTGACTTCCACGACCACGGCTTGACAGATCCACGTGAACAATTCCCCACAGTAGTGGAAGCACCACCGCGCGATCTTGACAGGTGCGTCACACCCAGTATGTTCACTAGGGCTATCTCGGAACCTTACAAAAATTTGAAAAAAGGCCATCCTCAAACATGAGGGCTGAACCAACCGACCAAGGTTGGTTCAACTTCTCCACAACATTGGGCTGAAACATGGCGCAACAACAGAAATATTGCTACGAATACTATAGGTTACTGGTCAGCGAACCTTTACGAGGGCCTGTTAAACACAACTCTTCTCGTTTAAGCCCCCTTACCAGGTGCACGCAGTCTTTATCTCATTTCAGAGTGACGCTGTAGAGGAACTGGCTGTATCTGCTCATTGGATTCTGAAGATTACCAATGCTCTCAACGTCGAGGCTTGTTCTGTCAAAGAAGAGCTTCAAAATACACAAAGCGACGTCGCAGACCTCTATCTCAATCTGACTCATAATCTCAGTACTCCACGTAATCTTAGATGCTCTCAAACTCTTCAAAAAAGCTCAACACGATGAAGATCTGTCTCTAGACCACGAGAAACAGTTAACCCTGATTAGTATGTTAAGTCTCGAAATTGCTGTAGACTCTGAAGTGTCCTGAGTTCCAAACTGTCCGATGCGAGATATTCTTCGAGAAACCTTTCCAGCTGGCACGCAGTAACAACAACCGTAGCCTTCGAACATAGCCGCCTGTTATACATCACAGACGTGGTGGCGAAAGTTCGCTATGTCATCAATGCTGATGTAGGAGTTAGAATTCCTCGGGCAAATTCTAACGACCAATTGCACGAAGCAGTTTACTACTTACAGGCGGATAATCGGAAACGGATTGCCACACATAGTAAGCGATGTCTATCTCAACATGGGCTTAGGCACAGTCATTCACTGGATTTTCTTTGTTGCAGATGTTTCCATGCCAATCATAGTTATAGACACTCAAACGCACTAACTGACACGCGCAAACGGAGGTTGGTAGCCGAGAATACCAAGTTATTTCTTTGTATAACTTCCAGTCTTGTCTGTACGTTATCTTCAGTCACTGTTAAGCACATAACCAACCCATACTATTAACGGATGCTCAGCAAGTACTAGGAACAATACCAAATTCGACCAAAAATTCCATGTGTAACCAACAATGTTACACATCACATCACGACTACAGGACAACCTGTCTCCTCAAAAGTGCTCCGAATAATTCCCGAAAAGTTTGGCTGAAAACTAATTCGTCCACATGATAAACTTAGGAATTATCCGTCCACCAATCAACCCACGGGCATCTCCCTTTCACAGGGTTCCTAAAAAGGCTAGCAATGATTTGCGTCTAACTGGTGACTATCGTCGACTGGCTTTGCTCTCACTTGTCATTTTCTCCGAGACGTTCTGATAGAGTAAGAAGAAACAGAAGGGACATATCAGATTTAAAATATTTTCTTAGTATTCTATACATGAAAATCAGATCCTCAGTAGGGCAGAGTAAATAGGTCTAACTTCTCAAACCACCCGCGTATTGCAAACCCTAGAGTTCTGGAAAGTCCCTGCCCTGTGAATTTTTTCAAGATTTACAAGTCACCTTATAAGCCGGGCCTTGTAGCCTAGATGCAAGTTTCAAGTTTGGGTCTTCGTAAGGTTGTGTATACTATAGTTTGTATACTATAGCGAAAATATTAGCATCCAACTTGGTAAATGTCCATCCAAAAGCTCACAAGGTTCTGAAATCCCTAACCGTGACTGTACGGCAGTGGGCCATAGTCTCAAGATAATGGCTTACTGTTACTCCAAGATCATCGTAAGACCGGACTATGGTCACTAACTCTTCCGCTATGTTACACCTAACTCCGCCTATAGCTCTTTCAGAATTACTGCCGGTCCCAAGCCCGAGTAAACCATTTAAACTCTGCCGTGGAAGTTAGAAGGTCTTCATTTAGAAGAAATATGAAGCCTCATGGTGAAAACGGAGTTCCTACGGAAGCCACGAGGCCAATGTCCCTTCTAACAACCAGAGCAACAATTTTTATAGGTACATGGAACGTCCGGACAATGTGGGAGACCGGGAAGACTAGTCAAATAGCAACGGAAATGAGGAGATACAACTTGGCAGTGCTGGGAATCAGTGAAACCCATTGGACCCAAGCTGGAAAACAAAGGCTAAATACGGGAGAGATGCTGCTATACTCTGGTCACAAAGAGGAAAATGCTCCACACACTCAGGGAGTTGCTCTAATGCTGTCCAAAGTAGCACAAAATGCACTTGTAGGATGGAAATCTCACGGATCCAGAATCATCAAAGCATCATTCAAAACAAAGAAGGAGGGGATCACAATGAACATTATCCAATGTTATGCACCCACCAATGATAGCAACGACGACATTAAAGATCAATTCCATGAGAGGCTGCAATCAATCATAGAGAAGTGTTCAAGAAAGGACCTCACCATTCTGATTGGAGATCTAAACGCCAAAGTCGGAATAGACAACACCGGATATGAAGATATCATGGGACTACATGGACTGGGAGAGAGGAACGAAAACGGGGAAAGATTTGCAAATCTGTGTGCATTCAATAAATTGGTCATAGGCGGTACAGTATTTCCACACAAACGTATACACAAAGCTACATGGATCTCACCGGACCACACCACAGAGAACCAGATAGATCATATTTGCATCAATAAAAACTTCCGAAGGACAATGGAAGATGTGAAAACCAGGAGAGGAGCGGACATAGCTTCAGATCACCACCTGGTTGTGGCCAAATTGAAACTGAAGCTAAAGAAGAACTGGACAACTGGACAAAGAGCGCTGCAAAGGTTCAATACAGCCTTCCTTCGAGATACTGACAAACTCAATGAATTCAAGGTAGCTCTCAACAACAGGTTCCAAGCCTTACAGGACCTACTGAAGGAAGAAGAAACCACTATGGAGGATAGCTGGAAAGGTATCAAAGAAACATTAACTTCAACGTGTGATGAGGTTCTGGGCCCCAAGAAGCATCATCACAAGGAATGGATCTCTATAGAAACACTGGACAGGATCAAAGAAAGAAAGAACAAGAAGACAGCAATTAACAACAGTCGAACAAGAGCAGAGAAAGTCCAAGCACAAGCTGAGTACATAGAAGCAAACAAGAAAGTGAAGAAGAGCATTAGAGCTGACAAGCAAAAATACGTGGAAGAACTAGCAACGACGGCGGAAAAAGCTGCAAGAGAAGGAAATATGAAACAGCTTTACGATACGACAAAGAAGCTAGCAGGGAAATATAGTAAACCAGAGAGACCAGTCAAAGACAAAGAAGGCAAGCCAATCACTGAAATTCAACAACAGCGCAACAGATGGGCAGAGTACTTCGAGGAACTTCTAAATAGGCCGGCTCCAATGAACCCACCGGACATCGAAGCACACGCACAGATCTTCCTATAGGTGTCAATCCACCAACGGCCGAAGAAATCAGAAT